CAGATACTGCCAGAGAGCGCATCAGTATTCCAAGAAGTGATAGTGAGAGGGCCATATGCAAGGAAGAAGGGAGACGACTTCACGGGGCCACTAAGATGAAACGGAGGAGGATAAACAAATTTGGCAGAGACAGAAGCAGGCGCTGCACAGACAGGTACAGGCACAGCATGCGGCGCACTAGCAGGCGTCACCCTGAGGCCCCCCTTGCGTCCAGGTAGCACACGGTGCTGCTTTGGCTGCTTTTCGCGCTGGTCTCGCACAGGAACTTCCTGTTCGACGGTCCTGGTAGCGGTCGACACCCTTGCCAGCATGTCAAGCACATCTTGGTCGGCGACGTGCCCCACGCGGAAGCTCTCCAGGTTCGGCTCGTACTGAAAGCCGTTGCCCGAGGTGCCCTTGATCCAGTAGAGCTCGTAGGCGTCGACAGGAGAAGACAAGTGGACGAGGCACTGGTAGCCGTTGAAAAACCGTGCGGAATTCGCCCATGGCCGCCGCAGGCTTTGATCAACTCTTAGCTATGCTGCCAGACGAGGTTGGCTGCTCTCTGGCGATCTCTCACGCCCAAAAGTAGATCAGAAAGTATATGAGTCGTGCTGATGTTGTTGTTCCGTGGGCCCCTCCACAACAAGTAAAAGCTATTGCAAATATTTTCGCACGGATGGTTCATTCCCCCCCGGGGAGAAGTCGACAGAAGAAGATGTGGCAACACGCAAGATCTTCAGCATCGCGTCGTCCTTGAGCAATATCGGCACCTGCGTGGCCACGACCTTGTCCCTATTGACCTGGCGCTGATGGTTCAGTATCTGCTGATGCCGAGCCTGCAGCTTTCGCTGGAGATGGGCGAGCCTGCACCGCCTGGCTGGCTGATGGTACCCACACGAGCCTCAATTGTAACATGAGCAGCATGAGCGATAGCGGCAGCATTCCCATGCTCAGTTCCGGTAAGCCTCGCATGCAGGGTGGTACTACGTGTCCTGCGCTGCATCTTGGCGACCTTTGTCTCAAAGGAAGCCTCCAGATTCTCGATCTTCTGGCTCGTGGAGCAATCCACTCGCGAATCCAGGAAGGCGGACGCGTGGGTGTAAGAGACGATGCGGAATATGTACGACTTCGGTCTCCCGAAGGGCTCGAACAGGAGCGGTCCTGGAACCACGAAGATGACCGACGCTCCGATTGATTTGGCGAACTACGGCCGATGCGACAACGCTGGCTTTTGTCGGTCTTCCGAACCCCACGGGCCGTGACTGGCGAGACGGGAGCGATACGAATCATGGTAGCAAATCTGTACAGTACCGCACGTGCTCCGCCAGGAGCTCACTGAAAGAGATGGGGTATTGTGCCTGAGACGCGGGCCGCACACCCCCACACCCCAAATGGGCCACTGAACCACCTCGAGAAAATGACTACTTGAGCCAAATTTGCTTGAGCCAGAATTGCTACGGATGAGGAAGGAGAAAAAGGACGACGAAAAGGAAGCAGAAGGAGGGAGGAGGAGGGAGGACGAAGAGGGGCGAGAAGGACAGGGAGTCTAGGGAGGAGAGGAAGGAGAGGGAGAAGGAGGAGGAGCAGCAGCAGCAGGAAGAAGAGAACGAGCAGCAGCAGGAGGAGGATAAAGACCAGAGTGAACCCAAGATGAGTCAACGACTTTGCAGTTCACCCTCCCGTTGCATGTTCTGTCCATGCGCGAGGCGCTCCACTCAAAGACAAAATCACCGATGTCACTGAGGACTTGGGGCAATTGGGGTTTCCTGGGGTGGTGTGGGGGGGGGGGCTAATTGAGCCCCCCCCCCTTCTTTGATCGATCTCCTCCAAGATGGCCCCATGATGGCTCCCAAGGGGCGCGCGGGAGGCCCCAAGAGGCCCCCAAGAGGCGCCAAGAGGCCCCCCCGGGGCACCCAAGACGCTCCAAGTGGCCCCCAGGACCGCCAAGAGGCCCCCAAGACGCCCGAAAGGCGCCCCACGAGGACTCCAAGAAGTTTTCAAGAGCAATTTGTTGAGCACCCGAGCAATTTCGCGATGCCCCGAGGGGAAGGGGGGGGCAAACAGATAGCACAGGTCCTCGGCGGGGGACACCATTTCAAGATGCGTGGAAAGGCGGGGCAGACAGATAGCACACAGAACAAAGGTTGTAACCAATGTTTGCGCGCCAGGCAGATCGCACATCCACTTATGGAACCCGGCATATGCCATGTCACCGTCCCCCGGTATATCCGAAGAGACTCCGAGAAACAACGACGGCGACGACGATTCCTCCCCTTCTTGGGGCACGACGGCTTCCCCAGCCCGTCATGCCACTGCATTCGCCTACACATCCCTGATCCAGGCAACTCGCTTGGTCATCGTTTCTGAATAGGCTGGTGGGGTTACGCAAAGCGTCTAGAATAATTGCAAGCTCGTCATCAGCATCATCATGATAACCATTAGCATCATTAGCATCATCATCATCATCATCATCATAGTCATCATCAGCCGCATCAGCATCATCATCATCATCATCATCATCATCATCATCATCATCATCATCATCATCATCATCATCATCATCATAATCATCATCAGCATGATCATCATCAACAGCAGCATCATCATCCACATCATCATCCTTATCGTCATCATCATCATGATCATCATCAGCAGCAGCACCACCATCATCATCATCATCATCAGCATCATCACCACAATCTCGTCGTCGTCATCATCAGCATCAGCATCAGCATTAGCATCGGCACCATCATCAGAATCATCATCATCATCATCATCAGCAGAAGCAGCATCAGCAGCAGCATCAGCATCAGCATCAGCATCATCATAATCTGCATCATCAGCAGCAGCAGCATCGTCATCGTCATCATCATCATCACCAGCAGCAGAATCACTATCATCATCAACAACCACCTCGTAATCGTCATCATCATCAGCATCACCATCATCTGGCAATCATCAACAACAATATCAACAACAACACCATGATCATCATCATCATCATCATCATCATCATCATCATCATGATCATCATCATCATCATCATCATCATCATCATCATCATCATCGTCATCATTCTCAGCATCATCAGCAGCAGCATGATTACCAACATCAGCATCGCCTTCATCATCACCAGAACAGCGTCATCATCATCATCATCAGCAGCAGCATCATCATCGGCATCATCAGCAGCATCGATTTCATCGGCATCGTCAGCAGTACCATCATCATCATCATCATCATCATCAGCAGCAGCATCATCATCACCATCATCATCGTCATTGTCATCATCGTCATCATCATCAACTCGTCGCAATCATCATCATCATCATCAGCAGCAGCAGCATCAGCATCATCAGCATCAGCATCAGAATCATCAGCATCATCAGCAGTATCGTGTTCATCATCAACATCATCAGCATCATCAGCCTCATCAGCAACAGCATCACCATCATGATCAGCATCATCATCATCATCATCATCATCATCACCATCATCATCGGTTTCATAGTCATCGTAAGCATCCTAATCCGCCGACCCCTGAGGGTCACGGCGTGTGAGGTGCTTCCCCCTCCCCAAACCCCTCCCCCGGGGGCCTGGTCCGGCCGGTTTGGAGGGGGGGAGGGAGGGGCAAATCCATCATCGACACACTTGGAGCCTCAGAATGCCCCAAAACGGGCCAAAAAGGTTCCAAAGGTTCCCGGAACGGTCCAAGAGAGCTACGAATCAACGAAAGGTCGCCCCAAAACGCCGAAGATTGCCTCCACACGGCTCCAAAGTCCCCAAGACGTTTGAAACAATATTACGAGGCGCCCCAAAGAGGCCCCGAAGCAAAAATCGTCCCATTCCCTAGGGAAAACGTGCATTTTCTACACACACGCCCATTCGGCTTCCACGCCCCAAGAAGCCTCCAAGATCGACCCTCGCGGGCCCAAGAAGCTCCCAAAAAGGCTCCAAGACGCCATCTGGGCGATCCACAAAGGCCCGAGAAACCATAGCAACGGCTTAGGAAAGCCGCAGGACGGTCCCAACAGGGCTCCAAAACGGGGCAAGAAGGCCCCCAAAGGCTGTCCGGACGGCCCACGCGGGGGACGATTCGGTCCAAACCGCCCAAGATTGCCGCCAGACGGCCCCATGGGTGTCCAAGACGTTTGAAAACGCGACCACGAGGCGCTCCAAGAAGGCCTCCACAAGCAAAAACCGTCCCGTTCCCAAGGTAAAACAACATTTTCAGCACATTCGCTTCGTGTGATGTCACGAGGTCCACAACGGCCCAATAAACCTCCAAGATCGACCCCTGTCACCCGAAGAGGCTCCTAAGAAGGCTCCAAGACGGCTTCCGGGCGATCCACGCAGGCTCCAGAAACCATAGCAACAGCCACAGCCCAGAAAAGCCGCAGGACGGTCCCAAGAGGGCTCCAAAACGGGCCAAGAGGGCTCCCAAAGGAGGTCTGGACGGCATGGGCGTCCAAGACGTTTGCATACGCGACCACGAGGCGCTCCAAGAAGGCCTCCAGAAGCAAAAACCGTCCCATTCCCTAGGGAAAACGTACATTTTCAACATATTCGCTTCTTGGGCTTCCACGAGGCCCACAACGGCCCAATGAACCTCCAAGATCGACCTCTGGCACCCCAAGAGACTGTCCAAAAGTCTCCACGACGGCCTCCAGGCGCCCCACGAAGGCCCCCGAAAAACCATAGCAACGGCCCGGGGGAACGGCAGGACGGTCCTAAGAGGGCTCCAGAACGTGTCTAGAGGGGCCTCACTGGCTGTCCGGACAGGCCACGCGGGGGACGATTGCTGCCGCCCCAAGGGGTCGGCGGTGTGGCGTAAGCCAATGAATCATCATCCTCGTGAGCAGCAGCAGCAGCATGATCATCAGAAAGAGCATAGTCATCTGCGCTGGTATTGGAAGGATCATCACGTCGTCATCGTCCTTGAGTATGGAGAGCAGGACAAGGAGGCGGAGGAGGCGACGAGGAAGAAAAAGAAAGGGCAGCAAGGGGACGAGGGTATGGCCCCTTTCTCCGCCAGGCGGGGGGGCGCGGGAGCCACGCGGGTGCATGCCAAGTTTGCATGTCCTGCGAGACACGACAGCCGCGCCCGTGGGAGACACTGGCCAGACAGCCTGGCACTCAGCGAGGTGTCCTGGGCCTTAGGCCTCCTCCGCGCTGCTTCTCCACGACTGCTGCTGCCGCAACTTGCCGCGCTCAGAGCCACCCGCAGAGCGGGTCGAGGGGACCCGGGCGGCCTCCACGCTGCCTCTCCGCGACTGCTGTTGCTGCACGCTGCCGTGCTCGGAGCCACCCCCGGAGCGGGTCGAGGGGACTGGACCGGCCTCCAAGCTCCCTCTTCGCGACTGCTGCTGCTGCTGCACGCTACCGCGCTGCAAGCCGCTCGCAGGGCGGGGCGGGGGGACCGGGGCGGCCTCCTCGCTGCCTCTCCACGGCCGCTCCGAGCCACCCACGGAGTGGGCGGGGGGCACCGTGGCAGAACCCGCGCTGTCTCTCCGCGACTGCTGCTGCACGCTGCCGCGCTCCGAGACGTCCGTGGAGCGGGTCGGAGGGACTGGGGCGGGGGGCAGCGGGGCAGAATCCACGTTGCCTCTCAGCGACTGCTGCTGCACGCTGCCACGCTCCGAGCCATCTGTGCGGGTCGGCGGCACCGGGGCGGCCTCCTCGCTGCCTCTCCACGGCCGCTGCTGCGCGCTGCCGCGCTCCGAGCCGGCCGCGGAGCGGGTCGAGGGGGCAGGGCCGGCCTCCACGCTGCCTCTCCGTGACTGCTGCGAGCCGGCCGCGGAGCGGGTCGAGGGGACCGGGGCGGCCTCCACGCTGCTTCTCCGCGACTGCTGCTGCTGCACGCTGCCGCGCTCCGAGCCGGCCGCGGAGCGGGTCGAGGGGACCGGGGCGACCTCCACGCTGCCTCTCCGCGACTGCTGGTGCACGCTGCTGCGCTCACTGCGCTCACTGACACGGGGAAAGGGGGCCGCGGGGACCCGGGCGGCCTTGCCGATGCCTCTCTGCGACTGCTGCTGCGTACTACCACGCTCCCAGCCGCGCGCGAAGTCGTGCATGGAAATTGGAGCCAGGTTGAAAGCGTAGAACGCATCGAAAAAGTCCTCCCTCTGCATCCAAGCGACATTGCCCCCAGCTTCTGGGCAGCCGCAAGCTTCATGGACCTCTGGGTGCTCTTCCCACCCAAAGCCGTCGTGGTTGACAGACCAGATGCCGCAGGGGAGGTCGCCAGAGCCGTCTGGGTGGCGGACCTTGATCATGTCGAAATGCGAACCGCCTGCGCCCTGGATGACGCCAATCACCGAATACGCGTGGGTGTCCATGACGCCACTGGCCGCCCTCGATGCCGAGCGATGGCTCTGGCAGCTGAAGAGGAAGCCTGCCTCCACCCACGCGCACAGCTTTGCGAAGAGGGCATCGGCACTTATGCCCTGGCCTACATCGCCGCCGCCCCCGACCTCTGGCCAGCCAGCTTTGTGCAGCTGCTGGTCCCCGTCATGCGGCGAGTTCTCCAGCTCCGCCCAGCGGCCCTCGTCGGCCTTGTACTTGCCGTAGCAGCGGTACAGCCCGTCCCTATCCAGGAGTATCTGGCACGCGTCCCTACACCCTGTCAGGATGCGCCACGCGTGCACGCAGGATCCACCATCGATCTTGTCCCAGCCGCCACAGTGCGCCGCGATGGCCTTCTCCAGCACGCACGGCCACAGTTCGCCAGCAGGCGTGGGACTACACCCGAAGAGGCAGCCGTACTCATCGTCCCAGAGCAAGCGCTCGTCCACGACGACCTCCACCGCATTCCAGGTCCTGAGGTCGTACAACGTCACTGTGTACCTGTTGAACTCATCGCAGGGAAGCTGCAGCAGATCGTCCGTCTTCGCGAACAGCCTCCTGATCGCGCCGTCGAACTCCGCCAGCGCAGAGATGGCGGACAGCAGCCACCGATCGCCCACGAGTCCCTGCGAGATGTCGCTTGGGTCTGGGAGCGAGTAGACCACGCACCCGGGCGCGTCGCACACGCCCTGCCTCCGGCCTGGGCACCTCGGCGACAAGGTGCTGCCCCTGTATGTCGCCAGGATCCCGTCTGTGTGCTCGTCTGGATCCACCCGCACTTCCTCGGACAGCGGGACATACTCTGGCGTGATGACGCGGTAGGCCTCGGGCTGCGCCACGCCGACGGATGTCACGATGTAGCGCGCGCCGGAGCTTCGCAGGTACAAGCGGGGGGCGAACGAGTACCCCTCCTGGGGGTAGACGCAGCCGAAGTACTTGTAGGGCGCGGTCCTCATCATCTCCACGGCCGCCTGGATAGACTCCGCCAGCACGGGCGCGCGATGTGTGCCGCCGCAGGCGATCTGGTGGCCCATCCGCACCTGGAACTTCCACTTGCCTGGGTCGCCCAGGAGGAAGTCTTTGGTCGGCGGTGGCGCTGGCGGGTAGCCCGCGGTCGCACCGTCCGGCGCCAGAGACGGCCCCTGGGACATGAACCTCTTGAGCCTGGCCGCTGGCCGCGTGGGCGAGTAGTCACGGGCCAGCGGCGTCTCCAGCTCCTGGGTTTAGGTCGGGCATGTCCTCCTGCAGGCGGATTCTGGGCGGAACACAAAAAAATGGCAGAAAGACAAAAATCAAAGGGCAGTCAAAAATGGAGGAAAACAGAGAGAGAGAGAGAGAGAGAAACAAAAAAAAAAAAAAACGTCCCGAAACTGTGTTTTGACCATCTGGGGAAGCTTCCCCCCGTCGAGGGACACGCCCGACACCCTCCTGGATGCTCGGCGTCTCGGCCACGGGCCGCCCCGCGGGCGAGGCGTCGCTGCCCGGCGACCCGCTCCGGCGCGCCTCCCCGCGGCCGAGCGCCCTGCCCGGCAGCGCCGGCAGCGCGGGCGCCGGCTCCGGCGCGGGCGCCGGCTCGGCCGGGGCGCACGGCGCCGCGTCGCCTGGAGGGGCCCTGGGACACACCAACAAATACACACAAAGACCCAGAGATCCAACGCGTTGGAAAAAATCAAGGAGGGTTTTCGCAAATTTCGGCCCCTAGGGGCCCTCGCCGGGGCTCGGGACCGTAAAAAAACGACTCAGGATGAAAAACCGGTCCAGGGGAATGGGTCGAGATTTCCGGGGACCGCGCATTGAAAAAATCACGACATCGGATCTCTGGGTAACAGGATTCCCCATACTTTCCCACATGTTTTCTAAATGTTCGTCCTCCCCCCCACTTCCCGTATGCTCCCATGTCTTATAAGGATCGACGATGACTTGTGTCTGTGTGGTTTTCCTCCCTCCCGATCGCCGCGCGCCGGCTCCTCAATGAGCCGGGGAACGGACAGTGACATGCACATACGGACTCGGCGGTCCGCGCGGATTCCTCGGATCGGCGCTGGGGCTCGCCAGCAGTGCCTCCGGCGCCGCCCCCGGCGCGCTCGGCGCGCCAGGGAAGGGGGGTCGGGCACCGATGCGAGAGATCCGCGCGGAGCTCCGAGTTTTTATGTTTACATCACTGCTCATTCCCCTGATGAAGTCGCCCATGTTTTTCGCACAGACGTAGATCGTCTTGAAGTACTCGAAGAACTCCTCCTTGGAAGGGCTGGCCGGCTGTCCACCACCGCTATACCATAGGCAGGGCGGCGGAGAAGGGAAGATGGGGAGGTCCTCCTCATCCTCCTTCTCCTCCCCCACTCCTGCTCCTCATCAATAACTCCTCCCTGTCGCACCCCGAGGCCGGTCTTAAGGGGGGGCCTGGCGTGTCGCCTGAGACTTCAGTGCCATGTACGATTCTGAAGCTAACAACAGCTTCACAGATGGAGGGCTGGCCGCTTCCAAAATGTGGCTCTCGCCTTAGCGCCGCGCACACTCGTCTTAAAAATACGCAAGAATTTGACGGATTGAGGGCGGGTGGTTTTCAAAATGTGCCTCTCGCCTCAGCGCAGCGCGCTTTCGTTTCAAAACATGCGCAAGAGATTCGCGGATGCAGGGCGGGTCCTTTTCAAAATGTGGCTCTTGCCGAAGCCCCGCGCACACTCATTAAATGTTGTAAGAGGATTGAGGGCGGATCCTTGTCAAAATATGACTCTGGACTGAGCGCCGCGCACATTCGTTTAACAAAAACGCAAGAGTTTCACTGGTTCCCACTGTTGACGTACCAGAAATTATGCGTTGGAACGATTCGGGATTGTCAGGGCGGAACAGTTTCATTTAGTCGCGGTGTCGAAATCCCAGGAATGGTGTTCTGGCACGGTTCATGATTGTCAAGACGCAACAGGCAGGTTGGTGGTGGAATCCCAAGATTGGTGCGTTGGCACGTTTCAGCATCTTCAAACGGTTGTCTCCCAAACGGGCACTTCCTTCAGTGAAAACGACTCCGTGTAGGGGTCTATGAAGAGGGAGCTTGGAGGGAGGGTTTATTCCAACATGGTTAAGAAGTCTTGGGTTTACACTGGTCCTCCTCCTCCTCCTCTTCCTTCTCATCCTCCTCCTCCTTCTCCTCCTGCGCCTCCTCCTCCTGCTCTCCCTCCTCCTCGTCTTCCTCCTCCTCATCATCCTCCTCCCTCCCCTACTCATGGCAGTGGTGGACAATCAGCCCATCACTCCTTGCTGACCCAGAACACCCCGTCGTCGGCCTCCACAGGATTCAGGGCCTCCTTGACCTGCGGGTACTGCGACCAGCCAGGGCCGTCGTCGTCCCACATGCCAGACTGGAACTCGCCGCAGCCCCACGGATTGCGCACCTTGATCAAATCGAATTCCGTGCCGCCCGCGTTGTCGACGCAATCAATGACTGTGTAAGCATGGCCATCCACGATGCCCTCGGTGTCCTGCGTGTCCGAGCCAGCCTTGGTGCCCGCGCCCAGTATGTAATTCTCGTCGTCCCACGCGCACATGCGCTCGAACATCTCATCCTTTGAGATCTTGTGCGTTGCGCCGCCGCCGCCGCCCACAGCGGGCCATGGCATCGGCCAGAGGCCGCGGAATCCGTCCTGGGGCGAGTTGGCAAGCTCCTCCCACTTCCAATTGTTGGGGTTCAGGGTGCCGAAGCAGCTATACATGCCGTTGTCGTCTGGCATGATGGTGTACTGCTCTTTGCAGCCCGTGAGAATGCGCCAAGCGTGCGTGCACATACCGCCGTTGATCTTGTCCCACCCGCCGCAATGGATGGCGCACGCCTTCTCGATGTATGGCGCCCACAAGTCCCCGGACGCGCTCGGAGCGCAACCCAGCAGGCCAGTGCCACTAGGGTTCCCAGGGAGGCGCTCGTCAATCACAATGTCGACTGGCTCCCAGGTCTTCAGGTCGTACAGCGTCACTACGTACTTGTTATCATCCTTGCGAGGCATGGTCTCGATACCGGGGGTCTTCGCAAACAACTTTTTGATGGCACCTGGAAACTCCGCCATGGCAGACAGGGCGGATAGCAGCCAGCAGTCACCGACGCTGCCCTGCACCACGTCGTTCGGGTCAACATCTTTGATGATGCTCAGGGTCGGCACGTCTGCGTAGCCTTGGCCTCGGCCGGGCTGCTTGCCGGCTGACAGCGAGGCGCCCCCGTACGTCATGCTGTCGGTATCCGCCACCGTGCCTCGAGGCACGAAGCGGATGCCCTCTGACTACCTACCAGACCACACCAACCCAACCCGAAGACCCGAATTTCGGGTTGGGGGGGCAAGGGTTCCACATGTGTTTTCTCGATGTTTCCCGACCCCCCCCCACTAGAAATCGAGGGTAAATCTGACCCTTCGGGTTGGGTTGGGGTGGTTTGGTGGGTGGTGACCCTCGGTTCCCTTTCGAGTCCTCTGCGCAGCGCACTGCTGACAGTCCCCACCGGGGGGCCCCGCCGCCGAGAGCTCCGGGCGCCCCCGGGGGGTCCCCCGCGTGGCTTCTCGAGAGGCCCTGGGGGCCCCCTCTGCGGTCTGGCCACACGGAGGTGCGGCGAGCCGAACAGTGGTCCGATTTAGAGTCAGCCCGAGCTTCGAGTTGAAGCCTCAGGCCGCCACGACATGGGATAATGATAAGATCTCAAGGCGCATACGCTTCGGGCAAGGATCCCTTGACGGTTTGTCTAAGGTCAACGAGCCGCTGCAGACAGGGGCACGTGTGGTCCTTTTACGGGTTCCCTGTGCGGGTTCGGGCTACCCCGCCGGCCCGCGCGGAAGGACCCTGAAAGACCTCAAGGTCCTCATTCGAGAACCGCCCCAAGACGGCCAAGATGGCCCAGGCCAAGACAGCCACACGAGGCCTCCAAGACTGCCATGATGGCCCCAAGAGAGCCCAAGATGGCCCCAAGATGCCTCCAAGACGACCCAATATGCGCCCACGACGTCCTCACGACGGCCTGAGAGGCTCCCAAAACAGGAGGCCAAAATCTATGTTCCAAATGCTTTTGAATGATGTTAGGGTTCTCGCCTCTTCGGGCTCCCAACTTTCCAAAGACGGCCCAATAGGCCCCCAAGGCTGCCGCAGAGGCCCCCAACAGGACCCTCAGGGAGTCCCTACGAAGCCCCAAGAGGGCCTCCTCCTCCTCTTCTTCCTCCTCCTCTTCTTCCTCTTCCTCCTCCTCCTCCGCCTCCGCATCCTCCTCCTCCTCCTCCTCCTCCTCCTCCTCCTCCTCCTCCTCCTCCGCCTCCTACTCCTACTCCTACTCCTGCTCCTACCCCTACTCCTACCCTACTCCTCCTTCTCCTCCTCCAACGCTCCCCCTCCTCCACTCCTGCACTCCTGCTCCCCCACATCCCCATTTGCCTCCTCCTCCTCCTGCTGCTCCTCCTGCTGCTCCTCCTGCTGCTCCTCCTCCTCCTCCTCCTCTCCTCCTCCTCCTCCTCCTCCTCCTCCTCCTCCTCCTCCTCCTCCTCTTCCTTTCCTATCCCTTCCCTTCCCTTCCTTTCCTTTCCTTTCCTTTCCTTTCCCCTTTCCTTTTCCTTACACATAACTACTCCCTGTCGCACCCCGAGGCCGGTCGAAAGGGCGGCCTGGGCGTTCCGCCTGAGACTTCCTCACCACTTATGGCCATCAAGCTCAAAAATTGAGTGGTTTCACGGATTGCGGGCGGGTGGTTTTCAAAATGTGGCTCTCGCCTTAGCGCACCGCACATTCGCTTTAAACATTTGCAAGAGCTTCACGTATTGAGGGCGGGTGGTTTTCAAAATGTGGCTCTCGCCTTAGCGCCGCGCACATTCGTTTTAGAATTTGCAAGGAGTTTCACGGATTGAGGGCGGGTGGTTTTCAACATGTGGCTCTCGCCTAAGCGCCGCGCACATTCGTTTTAGAAATTTGCAAGGGATTCACGGATTGAAGGCGTGTGGTTTTCAAAATGTGACTCTCGCCTTAGCGCCGCGCACACTCGCTTCAAAAAAATGCCAGGGATTCACGGAGTTCTCGCCTTAGCGCCGCGCACACTACTTCTAAAATGTTGATGTTGCAAAAGCTTCGCGGGTTGAGGGCAGCTCGTTTTCAAAATGTGACTCTGGCCTTTGCGCCCCGTACATTTCTTCTCATAAATTGCAAGAGCTTCACGGATTCCAATGAGCAGGGTACCAGAAACGGCGTATGGGAAAAAATCGAGATCATGAGGGTGCAACAGTTATGTTGGTTCGCGGTGTTGAAGTCTCAAGAATGACGTTCTGGCACGATTCAGGATCGCCAGGGCGCAACAGACAAGTTGATCCGTGACGTTGGGGTCCCGACAATATTTTTTTGTCATGCGTCAGGGTCTTCAAACGGGAGTCTTCCAACGAGGCGGCAGTTCCGTGAGTGGAAATGAACCGTGGTAGGGGCTTATGAAGAGGGAGTTTGGAGGGAGTAATTTTCCCACATCATTGATGACGTTTGGGCTTACATTGGTCCTCCCCCTCCTGC